TTCACTACTCTGTCAACCTTCCTGAATGCTCCTAAGCTGCTCGTTTTCTTCCGTTCAGCTGCGGTGCCATATCATTAAAAATGCTGTCTTCTCAGTCTACTAGACACAGCTGGAGCATTCAGAAACGTTCTAGCATTAGGCGTAAACATCCGTTACTGATAAACATGATATGTTAGACTGTTGCGAGGCAATATTTCCTAGACGCTGTCAAATGCACCCAGAACTTGTTCCATTTGCTGGGTACTCAGTGAGCAGTGTTAAACACACATCGTTTGCATCCAGGTGGTGTAATCGACCTTGATTTCCATCTTCTCCCATCTCCCAATCCAAATGACATATGATATGTTATTTGAGAAGATAATGCATCCAATTATTCCGAAATGAGAATAAATCCACTTGAATCGAGTGAGTGAAATAATACAAACTATGAACAGGAAAACATTCCCAAGAACGAGGGAAAGGCAGTGGAAACACGTTTGTTGAACGCTTGCTGAGTGGAGTCCCTTGTATACGATGCGCGCGAAGTAGAAATTTCTGAGGCCCACATTAGAGCAGGAAGGCCAACAGAACTGAAAAGTTCAGACCGGAAATTACGTTCTTTGTCCTTTCAAAACCACTTGATCTTAAATACTCAAATTGCCGAATGAGCGCTATGTAACTCGCCTTTTACCTTTCTAGCGCTGAGAAATTCGCCGTGTAGATGTATGAAGCCATATACATGCAAATGTTCAACATTCAGTAGCGTGAGCCAGAAAGCACTACATCATCGGAGTGACCGAGATGAGAAAAATCACTCGTTACAAGTTATCGAGAGTAGAGCTGTCTCCCAGAACAACAGCAGAGGCATCGGCCGTGTAGACGCCTTGTCAATAGACTTCGATTCGTACGTGTGCTTGACAACTCGGGTCGGGTGACTGCGATTGAGATGATGTTCCTCACTCCCGGCTCCAGAAATCTTCGTCGCTTATGCACTGACATCTGGCTACGGCGAGGAAGAGTCGGAAGCTTCCCAAAGGGTGGCATAAATACGACGTCAAAGCAGTTTCGAGAAGTGGAGGTATGGCCCTGAGTTTTGAGTAAATAGCTCTTCGGTTTCGCGCTTTGATGCTTCTTCATTATAGAATGATCTCCATCCTCATCCGATTATTGTTGCAATCCTTGCCCCCCTTACTCGGATGATGACAAGAATAGTGCATGATAGGTTTCTGTGCAGATTTACTTTTACGAGTTCCAAAATACACGCGCTTGGATGCTCAGAAGAAAAGCAGAATGGGAAAAGCAAAGGCTCCCGAAGAGGACCTCGAACGATTTGAGGATGCATTCGAGGATCCTCTTCACCGGTGGAAGACTTTCACAACTGAGCAGGTATTCAACCGCCAAAACTCCCCGTTACAAATAATTTTTTCACAATTGAGGAGGTATTCAACCCCCGTGTCCTATACAGGACATACGAAGAAGTTGATGGAGCAGGAGGAATAGTCTCTGGAAGTTCATCTCCTACAAGATGATGGTTTGGGCAGAAAAATAGGCGAATACGATACGCGTGCCCCATTGGTTTTCGTGAAAATGAGGGGGCTGAAAATCGATGTCAATTACTATCTCGAGAATATTTTGGAGTAGGTCGTGGTCAACAGGACTTTAAGATTGACTGCACTTTCCATTGTCCTGTATATGCATCCGAAAAAGGACTTCAGATACGATCATACATTTGCCAGTTTATTGTTGGCAGGTTCAACACCACGATTGGTTTAGAAAAAACGGCTGAAGAGCAAGACATCGAAACTCTCAGCACGAAATGAAATAAGCAGGGCGAAAGATCGTCTGAGTTCATCATGTCGCCCCATTCTGCTGTCTCGATTTTCGTCTATCTACGGCATTTACTTCCGTTACTTAGCTTTGACAAGGTCTTTCCTTATCAAGTCCCACCAATTCCTGTTTGGAGCTCCTTGGGGTTCTTTCCCTTGAAACTTGAGTCTCACTTTCCTCCATATCGAATGATTCTATGGTCTTCTCAAAACCCGTCCATACCATCGCAGACGCTGCTCTCTCTTCTCCTGCTGAATAAGGGTTGTCTGCATGACGCCCCCTTCAATTCTGATCCCGGTCCAGCTGCGTCCAACCGCTAGTCTTTATGATCTTCCTTGTTTCTTTGTTTTACATATTTTTTACTCACAAGCGAACACCCGCGGCCTAGAGAGTATTGCAAGCATCATCACTCATCCATCTTTAAAGCTTTCCAGTCCGACCCACACAATCATCAGTCTCCAGGTAGCGGAAGTCCTATATCCTATCGGTGGCTTGTTCAAGACCGTCTACGACTGATTTCGCGTACTCATCGCAGCCGAGGAACATAATCTAATCTACGTTCAGCTAAAGCCCATCTACCGCTAGCAATTGCTGGCATTCTTCCTGTTCATTCCCATTCTTCCTGTCCAGAGCGAGGCCATCAATGTATTATTCCATCCAAGAGTCTAACTAGCTTCCTAGGATCACGAACGGGCAAAGTTGTTCCCTGGGGTATTCGAACTGCGGCGTTCCTTGTTTATGTGAGGTCAATGCCTTAGATGGGGACGATAGTGCTGCTCCTCAAAGCACATGGCATTCTTCCGTTAGTAGTCATAATGTTCAAAAATTGGGTGAGCCACCTAAACTCCAGACGCATTCCTAACTCAATCGGTACACCATCTGGGTCGACTGCTGTTCTAACTTTTATTTTCTCTGTAACTCACTTCGAATGGGGCTAGCCGTTGCCTACACCAGGGGGGTTTTATTCACGATGAAGATTTTCGTTCAGAAGTCCACCGATGTATTCTTTCCACCCTTCTCGTTGCTACGGACCTCTCCAGAAACACAACGTCGCCGTACCTTGCAACTCTAACTACCCGATGGATTGAATGGCTTTGGCCGAACCGAAGACACAAATTTCTTCTCGATCATCGAGCTCTTCGTACCGAGTCCATTTTCGCATTCTATGCCTACGGCAGCCTTGACTAGTTCCTTGCAATCCTGTAAGCAATTAAGTCTTCTGTAGTCTGCCTGTTTGGCCAGCGCTCATGAACGGCTTTCTTCTGACCCTTAACTCGCTGAATTCAATCGTTTCAGAATCACGCTTGCATGTTTCTTTGGAATCCACTCCTGAGACACGAGCTCTCAGTGTTTACCTTTTTAGGTCTTCTCCACGGATGCTCCGCTCCCTCTTCTCCCCTGCTCCCTTGTGGATCTCGATGTCTACTTTCGCTGGGAGAGCTCTATGCTGCTGAGTGCCTAACCTTCGCCAGGCCTTCCTGATGTCCTTCACAGTTTCGGGGGACGATTTTCTTAAGAGCACCTGGCCGAATTATGTCAGTTTCCCTCCACTGCCGAAGGTTACCCTCCGAGACTGCCTTTTTGCGAAGAAGGAACTGTATACAGAGGTGAAGGGCTATAACCGAAACTGTTTCTGACTTCAACTCCTCTATCACTGTGAACCATTTCGGGGCCCCTCCCTTCACTACCGACATGACCATTCAAATCATGACTATGGTTAGATTGTTCCCTGCCGGAATTGATCTACTGACATTTTCAGAGACGACATATACCCCAAGTTTGACATATTCCCCAAGTTCTCCGGATATTGATCCTTTCTAGCGTGTCTCGAGGCGAAAACTAGCCCTGCTCCTCATGAGATCAGCAACTTCTCAAGAGTTCTCAGTAGGCGATCCCACGTTCGAGTTCCATTTCGAACTAAAATCTTTGACAGGGCCCGTTCACGTCTCTGTAGCCCTATAATCCACAAAGCTTGGGGGGGAGGGGGGGAGTCCTGCACTGGGTGACGTCCTGGCTCTACGACTGGTTTCTTTTGAACTTCAGACATGATTTTTTGAACTGAGTTCCTTCATCAGCTGCCTTGATGAAGACATCATTTTTGAGATATTCATAGGGCATGGCTTTTCTCTTGGCAGGGAACGATCTGCGCCCTTCCTGAGCGTTGATACAAACTTGCGCTCCTACTCAATCGGCTATCCGTGCTTGATGTTGTCTTACACCATTCAAGCCAAAGCTGCTCTCACTTGTGAGCTTATGGGGTCACCTGTCGAAGAGTGTTCATAATGATATTATACATGTAGAACACACTATTTTCAGCTGAAAGTTTTGCCTGGACTGGCGTCGCTCTTGTTTCAAAGTTCTACACGGTATCAGACCATCGACTCCGCGTTGAACCGTTGAAAGATACCTGCAAATTTAGGAAAAGAAGCCTCAGCACCGTCGCCAATGGGACCACATTGCTTTTATTGCGAGGTAAGATTCGTTATCGGCAACATTGTAAGGAATATAACCGGTTTAGTGAACACATTTATTGTAGTGCTAAGAACGTAGTGAGTTTACATGTGGCCATGAAAATCTCTCTTGGCAGTCAAGAGAGATTTTCATGACCACGTCAAGCATAAGCGCAGTCAACCCTGCGGAAAATGCGAAACCAAGGTGACCTCTCTACGTTGTTCTAACAAAGTGCTGACTGCATTCTGAAGGGGTATCGAGAAGCGTATTTACAACTCCGAGTCGAAATCCTTTGAAAGCCATGTCCACCTGACTACCTACAGCCTTAGTAAGATGGAAATTCGTAATTCAATTCTCCCCTCTGAAGTTCGAAGAAGAATTAGTCGGCGTCAAATTCTGATAGAACAAACCGGAACATTATAGAAATGGACCGTGATGGGCTTAACACATAAAGCGATTTTGTGATGACATTTAGACCAGGTTTGATAGCAACAAATGGATTCGCACGCAACAAGCTGATGATCTTCATGATGGCAGGTTAATATAGGCGACCAAAGCTATGTGATCAGGTTGTAAAGGAGAGATGATTCTGCTGCTGTGTGGAGTATTTGATACAATCAGGACTAGGCTATTATCCCATCACGGCAAGAGGAAAATGTGCTTTTTGAATTGTTAAATGCACTTTTGCACACCAAGCACTTTTGCATTGCTGGTGATATCGAGTACAGGCATTCACCACACTTTCACAAATTTCGCTCTTCTTCCGATTTTTCGAGTATTCGAGTAGCTACAACCTGAATGACATGCTTTAGTAAAGTTGTAATTATAAAGTGATTATGCATACACTTGAGAATTTCGTGTACAAACAGGCTAATGGTTTTGCGAGAGAAGTACCCACTTCATAAACTTCCGAAAAACCATTAATCACAGGAGGTCCAAGAAAAACATATGTAAACAGGAGAGATTCACAGAAGGATTCACAAGCTCGGGAAGGGGTGGCAATTGCTTCCTCTATTTGAATCAATAAAGTCCGCTTCTACCAGCGTTTCTGTTGAGGCGAAATAAGCCCATTCATCGAGTCGTATAACATATGAAAAAAGCACAAAATGACGTTTGCAGAAGCTTATTGATGTTTCTGAAGCTAAGAAATGAAATAAGCAATGCTATAAGGAGAGATGACCTGTCACATCACAGGTGTAAGCCACAACAGGAGCAATCAAGCAAAACCATAATTGTTACACTTTAAAAAGGAATAATAAGAATGAAACATTGCTGCTGGAAACCATTCAAGCTGTGAAGCCATAAAAGCAAACGAGTCAGACAAAGTGCACAAATATTTCATCGAACACCTTCCAACAAAGAAATGGGCAGCCCGAATCTAGACCGACACAGCCTTTTTCTTCAAGGGCCTCCCTTTACCTGTCGAACTCACTCCTACCACTTTCTCGAGAGTCGCAGCCAGATCGCCTGACTCCTCGCGAGCTTTACTGTTGTCGAGAGCAATGGAGTTCATTGTGTTCACTTGCAAAGAGACTGAAAAGTAAGAAAGCAGAAATGGTCCCATGGCCAAGATTAACTTTAATATATATGTATAGTGGTAGTTCAAATTATGGGAGCCTATCCGCTGTAATGTATTTCGAGCTCTCGAGCTGTGAATAACAAAGGAATCATCATACTAGTTCACTAGTACTAATTGAAACAGTGAACTACAACCTTATTTTGAATATCCTTCATAAACACGGATACAGACTCTGAGTCCGTTCTCGATCTTCTCGCATGTGACACGCAAGTATTCCTAATTCATTTCTCCCCAACCTCTCTTGCGCTTTACTTAGAGGAGGACGGACTGCGATTTCGCACTCGATATTTAATTGACACCACTATGCTTATCACTTATTTTTTGTCAACCACCTCGCATACATCAGACTTGATTAGCTAGTCATTTTCTGTAACCCGTCATCTGAGACACAGTCACACGCTTATCACATAATTCAATAGGAAGACTTTTGCAATTCAACACCTATTGGGGGCTCTTGGTTGTGAGTTTCCAGTTAAACACACACCCACACATCACCACTTAGCGAACTATACAGTGTAATTCTCAGGGGAAACCCGAAGACCAACATTTGTGCTCTGAAAAAAAAAAAACGAAGAGATTTTTGCTTTTCTGAGGAGATAATAGAGGTGAACTCACTGAGATTGTGATACTCAGCAGCCTGCGTAGCCATCGACTTAACCAGCGTGTCGATTTTGTTAACGTAACACAGCCCAACCTCCTGATCAGTGATGAGATCACTACCGATCTTTACAATTACAATCAGTCCAAAGAAATGGAAAATTTACCGTTAGCATGCTTTGGATGCATAATTCCGCATAGTCTGCGCCAGTATCGTCACAATTCGATGATAGCTTCGGTAATTTTCGCTCTTCAACAGGGTAACACCTTTGATCGTAGTCTGCGTCGAACAAAGACATAAATGCATCGTTGGGCTGCAATGCACACTCATAAGATAGGGAAACTTTTTCCAGCCATCAGACTTGACCAAAATTGAGAGACAATTTGAGATGCAACGCATGGGTCATGGAGTTCATGCTCGGCACCTTATAAGGCGCAGCACTGTCTCTGAGATGAGTCATTGAAAGACTTTTTATTATTTGGTCGAATTTTCAAGTTGTTGGGTGACCAATTATTTGGTCGTAATTTCTAACTGATCACTGTATTTACCAAAAACTAAGCGCATGGAAACCACTCAAAAGAAGCGGTTCCCTCATTTACAAATGTCAGGTGGAGGCATAGGTTTCGGAAATAACGCAACATTTTTCCAAAACATTATTATTTAATATAGAAACGATAGCAATGAGCAGCATATCATATTGCAGCACAAGTTACTGATTTTATCGATTATGTTAGCAAAGATCTCAGCAGGACTCTGCATTCGGTTCATTTACTTATCGCTTTCTGCGGGACATCGGTTGAGTGCAGATCAAAATGAAACATCTGTGCATTACCATCCACAGCAGAGCAACACGTAGACATTCCATAGGAAGCAGGTTTGGTTTCACCGATGGTACTTCTTGTGCATGCTGCTTTTCAGCTTCCCTCGAAAAAATTGACGAAGAAATCCAGCTTTGTTTTCTCCAGTAACAATGCCTCTTAGAATTGTCCTCGGGTGTGGATGACGGAGCAAAGAATGACTAACGTTCACGAAGTTGACTAACCGCAACGGCAATGGGGTCTGCTAACTACCGTATGGGATTCCCCAAACGATACTTCTTGCATAGCAGCTTCTAGATTCCTTTCTCTGCTCCAACCTTTCTTTGCACAGGACAGGTTTGTAGAACATTAACATCGTCAAGACTCCTAACTCCAGATTCAAAGCTCTTGAACCGCTGAGACGCTGTAGATCGATGAAAGACATTGACCGTGAATGCAACAAGGATACCATTCGTTGCTTTCTTGAAGAGTGCCTTGGGAGTGGGAGTTATTGGTAGCGAAAAAATTAGTTGCGATAAGGTATAACAACTTGAACCATATGCGCTGCTCTCAAGCGACGATCCATTATTGGCGACTATATTAAGTCATTCGGGTGATTTACCTAATCGCATGCACACGAACAATCCTCGCAGTGTTTCGCATGTGGCAAATCTGGGAATACGACTGGGTATACTCTGTGTTAAGTAATACAGATACCCATAAACTGCAGCTTTAATATAGAAAAGTGTGCACTACTTGGACCGTAACTAATAGTCCAAAAGCAAGTCAAATCGTAAGAACCTGGGCAGCTTTCACCTTCACTTTTTGATTGAGATTAGGTCTTTTTGTCTGTTTCAAGAAGATACGACCACATCATATTTTCCCGTGGCGTTCCATTTTCAACTCACACCGTTGCTTAATTTGCGTGAACTCTTCCGATCTCAGGCAAGGGCAAAGAGGGAAGTTGCTAGCCAAATTTCCAAAAGGTCAAATCCTCACGAAGAAGGAACACTGACTGCTCAATCTTAGAACTGCCGGAGATTCGTGTCGATGCCACGCAGTTGTCGACGATTTCAGAAATCAATTCATTTCGGAAATCCTGCAGATCATCGTAACAAAAGAAGTATGGGATGTTCTTTGGTGTCTTCGGAACGAAACAAGCGGAGGATTTTGATAGGAGCGCCGAACAGGACTAATCCATTGTACGGGGATCAAGTCCTCTTTGAAGCTCACTGTCTCGAGGATTTCTGTGAGGAACGTGATAAATAAGTCTGAGTTTGCCGATGGGAGGAAAACAAGGAAGGCGCCCTTTATGACTGTGACATCGCGGTAAGGAGTCGCGCATGATGCCCCACTTCTTTCTTTATGGCGACAGAATCGGAAGCATAAGCTCGTATTCATGCAGAATTCACGTCAGGCGAAACAGCCAGGCCTGGATTAGCCGTCACCAAGTCGACCTTCTGTCCAGGCCGGCTAACAGCTCTAGTTTGAGTGAAAGGGAAAACGTATGGGGATTCATGGTAAGGAAATTTGTAAAGGAAACAAGAAATTTGGAGGCATCAGTGAGCTGAAGTAAACAGTGGTGCCTGGCACCAAAATGACCGAGAACTCATTGAGAGCCTTTACTTTCGCGAAGACAATCGTGTTTTTGGGATTATTCGAAGGAATGGGAGTCCAATCGATTACTATTCACGCAAATTCCTCTTTTTGTTATCAGCTAGCTGCTGAATAACTGACTAAATTGACATGGTTAGTGACTGTGTCATTTCAAAACCATTTTTCATGTGTTTATTTTTTACGAACAATTTTTTCGGAAAAGAAAAATTGTTCATGCTCTCGAAATGGAACTTACCGGTGGTCTATAGGCTGATGCATATGTTTTTCCTCCGTGTTTGGTCGTTCCGTACTCATTTGCATGGATTTTGGTACTTCTTCATCACGAGTGCGTGACGTGTGCGGGACACCCTTTCACCACGCTGTCACAGTGGTAATTGTGCTGGCTACCACTCGCGCACCCTGCATCTGCAGGCCACAATTACCACTGTGTCAGGATGTACTTGCGCCACTGCCTGGTTTGGCCTCACGATTCGTGGGGGAATGCAAAGGAATCCCGTACCAAGCTAATGGAAAGGTACGATGAGGACACATCTCTTACCGCACATGCAAGACTTGGTTCGCCAAATTCAAGAAAGGAGGCTTTTCTCGAAGATCCTTCGAGGTCGCGTCGGTCGATGGGGTTGCATTGGGAAGTATTACGTTGCCCCGTGGTGGAGGAACCGCATCTAACCACTAGGGGAATGACGACCGTGCTCGGCTATAATCAGTCGACGATTGTACGTGGATTGGATCAGCTCGGGAAGGTAGCAAAGCTTAGTCGATGGGTCCCACATGAACTGTTCGCTTGTGACTGCTCGAGGAGGTTGGCCGCCTGCACTTCGCTCCTTACTTTCCTTAAGAGGTTCCACTTTCTCAACTCGGTGATTCCTGGAGATGAGAAGCCGGTCCTCTACTACAACCCTGTTAGGAAGCGACAGTGGAACGACAAAGAAGAACGGCCAGAAGCCATCCTTAAGGACTACCTTCATCACAAGAAGGTTCTCGTGTCCTCTTGGTGGTTCAGAAGAGGAATTGAGCACTGTAAGCTGCTGGATGGCGGATTTTGCGGAGGATGGTTGATTGTCGCCCAGCACCCTACAGCCCTGACCTCGCTACTTACGACTACGCAGTTCAGCCACCTGCAGCGCGAAATTTTTCTGGACGGAAAAAGGTTTGAAACAGAAGATGATGTCAGAAAAGCACTCGACGAATTCTTCAAATCCCAGCCTTCGTTCACTTGGGAGGAAGGAATCGACAAGCTGCCTGAGTACTGGCAGTCGAGTAGTGGATGGTGATGGTACATACCTCTATCTTCAGGTTGGTTCGCTATAGAGTTATATCTCTTATTTTTAAAGCAGTAACGTGGTGTGTAGGTTTGCCGGTATGTCGATTTGTGTGTTTGTCTGTCTGTCCGTCCGTGATACTTATGAATACGATAAATGCAGTGATATGGAAAACCCAGCTCTATTCTAAATTCCCTCTTACATATAAAGAAGTAACTCGGTGGGTAGGCCAATGGAGCAGAGTGCTGCGGAGTGAGAGTAATGTGAAGTTTCGATCTAAACTGGCATCGTGCTATGTACGCCTATACAATAATCGGAGGTGATAATTGTAGTTGAGGGACATCGCATTTTTTTTTCAACATTGAGCGACAGTGGTATATAAGGTGGTTATCCCATAGTTGTGCTCAGGAACGTTTATAAGCCGAGAACATAAGTTTTTTGACCTGCGCCTCAGAAGCACCGAGGTGGGTGATTCAATTGAATATTCAACCCACACCTCATCCTAGCTTTTTGCACGGGGTTGTCATCTGAGCCCAACCCAAACGCTCCTGGCCTCCTGAGGCTATGGTGAAAACTATATTCTTCTGCCTGGAACCAACTCACAGCACAAGTAAGGTCGTCTCACCCTCTTCTGCACTCAAGCCTTCAGGCCACCGTTTAATAAAACTGGTACCCCCTAACTACATTGTCTACTTTGTAAAAGTAAAGCATCAGTAAAAGTTTTGTAAACCGGCCGGGTCGCCCAGCCTACGCCGGGCAATCCGACTGGTCTACAGAAAAGTCGGGAAGAAGCTAATGCATGAACCTACAAGTTACGGTTCGCATACTGCACATTTCTCCTACTGAGACAATTTCTGAAGTGCCCTGGACAGTGAACTCTGGTGCAATTCATGGATGGCTGTACCATTATTTAAAGCAGCGTGTACCATTTCGTATGGCCGTTATAAACGCAGTGTATGTATTTATGTATGAAGAAATATGCAATAACTCATTATGAAGAAGTACAATTTGCTGGTTTACAAAAAAGACTTACCGCAAAAATGTCGTCTGAAAGCTCTTCATAGCGAATACACATAATGTCAAGTGCATCACGTTGAGCAACATCGTCAAACGATAAACTGAAAAATTACGATAACAAATGCAGCGACAGAACAAGAAGTGCCATTCAAAGAGAATCCAGGGAAAAAGAGGTCAAAATCTTGGACGAAACGTACTATTTCCCTGCAATCTGTTCAGCTGCTACCATGCCTTCAAACCGGTGGCATAATGCTCTGATTTGTACGAGGGACTCGAGCCGTTGATCGCGGAGCCGCTTTTCTGAACATTACTAAGGATATACTGAAAAAAAGAAAGAGAATTTCTAGCCAAGTACTGGATTCCAATCGAGAGGTCAGAAGGTTGTTAAGCTTTTCGCACACGGAGCCAACACAGAACAGCCTCCGATACTCTGAAACATCTTGATCTACATGATAAAAAAGCTTCCAAAAAATAGGAACCTTCCGCAGAAGAATGAAAATAGAAGATGAAGTCGAGGTTTGTTAAGCCGACAGTATGCCAATTTGTTTGAAAATTTACGAGAAAGGTATATTTTAGGAAGTTTTAAAATGTAAAAAGATGTTTATTCTTCTAACGAACTGGTCACTGTAATTATTTATTGCTATCATAAAGTGCATTTTGATAGCATGCAGTTTCTGCAGAAACAGATAGGGTTTTTCTGAGGTGATTACGTTTACGTTTCAAACCACTACTGACTGAGTAAATTTCTTCTTTTTATGAATCACTCTGAAAAAACCCTTCATTTTGGCGAGTGACAAATGAGTTTAGAGTAACATATTTTTCTTAACGCAAATGGTGACTCGTTTTCTTCAAACAACACATTTTGACCTCGCGCCTAACATGATGCCCACTGCTACGTAAGTCATCGATCTTTTGCACCTCTAAACACTTTTTCGAATAATCCAACACATTTATGACTCGCAGCATTGTTGAGCGTAGTCGTCATCCGAGGTTTCAACTCTTCTAGGCGACCATTCTGAACCGTTCGGAAAAAACTCGCAGAGATTGACAGTTACACACGTCCAATTATTTCCTTATTGGAATTCGATCACTAGGAAGTCAAAATGTGTTGGCATTTCATACATCACGGCGCAAGAAAACTCGAGCAACTTTTCATAAAACAAAGAAACGGGTGACACTACTAGACTCTTTCACCCAAAGACTCACTTTCATCCTTCACCCTTTCCTCTGACATTTCAAGAATTTCCTAGAGGGCGATGTCTCTCATAAAACGCATGTGATACCTATAATGACATCCGGAAGCTCGGGACTCCAAAAACTCGAGTCAGAACTAACGAACTTAGGTGTCGTCGAAAAAATAGTGCTGTAATATTTTATACCTCTATTGACAGAATCGATTTTGTTGGGAAGAGGTGATGTAGTGGCACTATCACATACGGATGGTCATGGGTTTGAATTTCGAATCGGTATCCGCCTGGTCCACATAAGCCTTTCACCATTCCGAGCCGGTGAATTGACTCGTACCGGAGGATATGCAGGGACTTGAATCGGCTTCCCTGTACAGGTTATTGTAACACAAGCACTCAATACGCTCCAACGATTCCGGACGGGAGCTGAATGCGGGATCAGATCTTTCAAACGGAATTTATTAAGCCCGAAGCCCAATCCTTCATCCTCTTTTTTTGGTTTGCTTCAAGGCCAGCTGCAGTGCTTGTTAATTTTGAATCAAGCTGATATCACGCTCAAAATTGACAAAGAGTTAACCTCAACGTATAAAAGTTCGTGTAACTGTACCTGACACTAACCATCTCTCATTGGGCACTTAGATGTCTCTGGCAGTCTGCATCTTTCACCGCAGTGTTTCTTGTAAAGGGAGAAGATCATTTCCAACTTTGAATTAAAATCGTCTTTCTCATTCTCCTCAAAACCACGATATAAGCGTTGAACAAACTTAACCCTTCATTGACTACACCGTAAAGCGAAATTTTTAAGCACAATTCAGTAGATTCTCCTACCTTAAAACTCGAAGATCCATTTAATTCTTGACTGGCTTTGACCACATCTTCAGAATCTTCATTCTTGGACAGATTTTCCATTGGTCTTGTGTCGCTGGAGATAAAATTATGAATATATATATATATATATATATATATATATATATAACTAACGCCGGGCTTCTCTTCTTAATCGCAAAGTTATAGTAATCGGCTAACTCTCCACTCCTTTGAAGCAAATATCTCCCTGTACACGAAGTTCAACACAGAGCTAGCAGAGCAGAGCAAACGGTATTTAGGGTAAGTCGGTGATTACGCCTTTAATTACAAGTCTCGGTCCTTTGCTCTTTTTTGACAATAAATACCCAATAAAGATTCAACAAGTGATAATGGTGATATCATCACTCGACAACATTTGTGAGTACCATTCAAGACTTTAATTGTCAGTCAGTTAAGCCATCATCGAGACATGTCTTTGAGATGAAGAGCAATGAATCGAGACTTACAATTATAGGCGTAAACATCGCCACATACTAAATGCACTGACGCTACCCTATAAGTCCTTTGCAAATTTTGTGTCCGTGAAGGCACCATTTATTCTGAAGAAACAGTGGTGGGTTAGCCCATTATTACCACTTTGTTATAAGAAGGAGGGAAATCTGGCATTAGTCGATTTCTTATCATCATTATCATTGCACGTACTCAACCGCCTTACCGAATGTTCAACATTTTTCCGGATAGGGTGTTTGACACAAGAAGGAGGAGAGCCCGGTGTTAGCCGGGCGATCCGACCGATTAGTAAGAAAAGAAGTACCGCCACTATCCCAATCACTGCACTTATCACTCACTTTTATCATCCTACTCTACCATCCCATGTGAATGAAACATATTGAAGGGTCAAAGCTACATTGTAGATATTGAAGACGTTAGGATTTCGATCGGTAGGTCGCTCCTGCTTTCTTACACTCTCGACCTTCTCTTATTATTATAGAGATTCCTGTAACCGAGTACATACGACCCCGGCATATCCTACACCTCTTATCAAAACCTAAAAAATTTGGACTCTTTAGGTCCACGGAAACAGAAGTTACGGATCAAGCATCTACTCTGCGCACGCCCCGCCCCCTGTGGACGGAGTCCGGTTCTGCCACATGTTACAAAAGTTCCCGCCCGTCGCTTGTACTATTACCAAATTTCAACCCGCTAGCTCCACGTAAACAGCAGTTATAAATTTGCGACCTAAAACTTCCATAGCGCACGCCTCGCCTCCTGTAGGCGAAGTCCGGTTCTGCCTTATATCATAAGTGTTCCCATCCTGTCCTCCGTACTCCTACCGAATTTGAACTCTCTAGGTCCATGGAAACAGGAGTTACGAATTTCCGGTCGGACACACACATCGACACACACAAACACATACATAAACACACCGACAAACCAACAACATACAGACATATGTATGTACTTAGCGAATTATATATAGTAGGATATTTATATATAATATAATATCCTACTTTATATAATTCGCTAAGTGTGTCTGTTGGTGTGTCGGTGTGTTTGTGTGTGTGTTTGTATGTGTGTGTCGGTGTGTGTGTTTGACCGAAAATTCATAACTCCTGTCTCCGTGAACCTAGAGCGTTCAAAATTGGTAGGAGTAAGGGGGTAGGATGGGAACACCTTTGGTAAGTGGTAGGACCAAAATCCGTGCAAAGGGAGCGCGGCGTGCGCGTTAGAAACTTTGGGCCGCAAATTCATAACTCATGTCCCCGTGGACCTGGAGCGTTCATATTTGGAAGGAGTAATGGGGGCAGGATGGGAACACCTTTGGTAAGTGGCAGGACCGGAATCCGTGCACAGGGGGTGGCGTTTTGCGCCGCAATAGTCAATTTGGCCCTAGGGCATTCAAACTTGGCAGGAGTACAGGCGGCAGGATGGGAACGTTTATCGTAGGTGGGAGGACCGGATAGAAGGCGAAGTTTGCGCCAAACTTTCAGTTTGCTTCTAGGGCGTTCAAACTTGGTAGGAGGCAGTATGGGAACACTTATGGTGAGTAGTAGGGCCGGACTACGCCCCCAAGGAACAGGATTTTGCGAAATAAATGAGTGGAAATCCATAACTCCTGATCCCTGGACTTGGAGAGCATTTAATAAGAGGGGGCAGGATGGGAACACTGACAATAGAAGAGGCCTTGGAGAAAAAG